TGGTGTCACCTCTCCTGTATATGGCACAGGGGGCACTGGTGCTGTTCCTTGTTGAAAATATATGTAACTTTCAGTGGAGGTGAAGTATACATACCAAAGGTTAGATTACACATTGACATCACATGGCACTCAGATCACAGTTCTGTAGAACGATTGCGGTATAAACATTTGCCACTATCTGGAATAAGCATACCTTATGGAGTAGATGGGTGTGTCTAAGGGGAACAATATCCACTGAAAAAACGTTTTTTAAGATTTTGTTGCTTTTATATTGTATTGTTTACTCCAGACTGGTCTGTTACCACAAAACAATTCTTCAATGCCCATCGCTCACTGCGGTTGGTCATTCTGGCCATTGTGTGATGAAACCCTTGTCTATCTGAAGATCTCAGATGTGTGAATTGGGCTTCAGCCAATATTTACCTTGTAACTTAAGCTCTGGGCTAATCTAATATCAATTCTTTGCCTTCCAGTGGAATGAAGTAACCAAATACTTTCGGGCTGGAATGCCCTTGAAGAAGCACAGACAACACTTTAAGACTTACGGGAACTGTTTCACCGCCTCAGAAGCCATAGACTGGCTCCATCAGCTACTCAGGAAGAACAGCAATTTCGGAACTGAAGTGACCAGACAACAGACAATCCAGCTTCTAAGGAAGTTCTTGAAGAACCATGTTATTGAGGATCTGAAGGGGAGATGGGGTACCGAGGACCTGGAGGATAACCACAACCTGTACAGGTATCACTTGGCAACCATACAGGTTTTTGTACATTTTAGAGCATTCATTCCCAACCAGGAATCTGTGGCATAATCTGGTTCCTCTATGGGTGGCTAGGCGTTCCTTGGGCTCTGGCCAACTGACTTCCCATCTGATGATGGTTGCATAGTCTCACAGATACGCACATTCCTCACCCCAGACACCACCAAACAACTCGTACACTCCCTCATCATCTCACGCCTGGACTATTGCAATTCCCTTCTCACTGGCCTACCCAAACGAACGCTATCCCCACTCCAGTCAATCCTAAACTCAGCGGCCAGACTCATCCACCTCACCAAGCGCTCCACATCTGCCTCCCCCCTCTGCCAATCCCTTCATTGGCTCCCGACTGCCCAACGCATCAAGTTCAAGCTGCTAACCCTGACCTACAAGGCCATTCACAATTCCGCCCCGAACTACATAACTGACCTGATACCCAGATACTACCCTACCTGTGCCCTCCGCTCCTCACAGGACCTCCTGCTCTCTAGCTCCCTGGTCTCCTCCTCCCACACCAGATTGCAGGACTTCTCCAGGACTTCCCCCATCCTCTGGAACTCCCTACCCCAATCCATCAGACTGTCACCTACCCTCCTCACCTTCAGGCACACCCTGAAAACCCTCCTCTTCAGGGAAGCCTATCCCAACCTCACCTAACAACTGACCTCCTCCACTCCTCCCACCACTCCATCCCCCACAGCCATCTCCTTCTGGGCCACCTTCCCCTCCCTCCTAGATTGTAAGCTCGAAAAAGCAGGGCCCTCGAACCCCCGTGTATTGTATTGTTACTGTCTTGTCTCATGTCATGTCCCCCTTGCTACTGTACAGCGCTGAGCATACCCTTTGGCGCAATATAAATACTGTATAATAATAATAGTCTCAGGTCCAACTCCACTTGGCAGAGGCAGCAGCATGACTGCAGGAATGTCATTCTGGCTACCCTGTAAGTGGTGGCATTCTTCCCACTTATCACCACCAATGTAGGAGGCATTTTCCCATTGATCTCGATGGACTAGTCTTACCAAGGGTTCCTTGATACCTGAACATTTATTTCAAGGGTTACTCTGAAGTAAGAAGGTTTCGGAGAGGCTGGGTTAGAGGAATACATAGATGTATGCATTCCCATGTATTATTATACTCTTCATTGTTTTTTTGTGTAGGTTCCCTCCCACTTCTCCTATGAAGACCATTCCGAATCGGCAGCCTCTTTGGAAGAGAAGCAGCTTAGAAAATGTCTTCAAAGAAAGGGACAATATGTTTAAAATGCCACATTTCTCCAAGAGGACACCTAAAAGGCATAACTCTCTAGATGGCCAGGTCAGTGAGGAAATGTTGATACTGTAAGGAGAGTGAAAGCACGGTTTGTATAAAACACAATTGGTCGGTATGGTTGTGTATTTGGTATTACATCTTCTCTCTACAAAAATAAATTGTCGGTAGGTATAGCTTGCATGCAAGGTCATTCCTGTCAAAAGAGAAAAAAAAAACGTTCTCCTGCTCCTAGCATTTTCCTCTTTGTGTACACTTCTGCGGTGCATGCGCAGTGCCTCGTGCACTCCCATCATGGAATTCACATTACATTGTTAACGACACGAAGATTGTGGTGGCAATAGATGCAACAACGATGAGGATCAATGAGCTGCAACCGCTGGAGAAGGGAAAACCCAGAAGTAAGTGGCCTATAATGTGTAAGCATGCTGTGCATACCTACACCATTTGGCAAAACTGGTCCACCATCAGCCATTCTACAATTCTGCTCTACTATGTAGGTATCCGTTCTGGTAGAATTGCCTAACAACCGTTTCTTATATTCTAGGGACATTGGGTTCCTAGGGACAGCTTCAAGAGTGTACCACTTTCCCTGCAGGGTTTTTCTATTTTTGTATTATAAAGACCGCAGCAAGGCGAGTTCCAGAAATCTTCTTTCTTTTTTTATTTCAAGTGCAGGAGACTCGAAGGTGAGCAAGAACAGTCACCTTCTGGCTTGGCCTTGTTCTCCATGATGTCCATGGCACTGTTCACCTGTGAATTTTGTTTCAATAGAGTTGTTCCTACACTTGTACATGCCTGTTGGCAGTCTTCAATATTTAATATCCAACAGCATGAGTTGGAGCCCTTCAGGATTACCAAACTGAGGCACAAGGCTGAGAACATGAGTGTAAATATCCAAGCAGTAAAGTCCTGAGGACATACTGGGATTTATGGAAATGTGGGCAATTTTTTCTGGAATTTTACCAAACCTTAAAAAAAAAAAAATTGTTTAGACTGACCCTTGCTAAGTTTTTTGTTTTGGCCTGCATTAATTTGTATGTTATCCCAGGGTGGACAAGAGAATGATGATATAGAAATGATGGATGAAGATCGGGGGGTGGCAAGGAAAGTGGTCTCCAGGAAATGAACAAGAAAGATGTTGAGGATGTCTGGGGGAACATCACCTTGAACCAGTAAGCTTCATTTTTATTAGTCATTCTTGTCCAAATGTTCTACTAATATTTCAAATTTTGGACAGTTCATCTGTTCACTTGGGGAGTGAAGGTTGACCATTTGAAACCTGGGACACATCTTTGTTTTTCATTACTTAGGGTCTTCTTGATCAATTTTACTGTGTGGTGATGTTTTTTGTTTTGTTTGTTTTTTGTTCTGGCATTTCAAAGGATGTAGTTTCCAAAGTGGTGCTGCTGAAGTCTTGCAGTTTGGGTCTTCAGTTGAGTATCCCCCTCATACCTAGTTTACAAGACTGATTGCTAATATGCTACATTGCTGCTCGCTCCAGTGGGTGCACCTGGGATTCTGACTGGTCTGATCCACCCACTGTGCTTCATAGTTGCATTGTTGGCTGGCCGACTTCCATAACAGATGAGTGGTTAGTGTCCTATTTGTGGAGCAGTACAGATCTGCTGCACATACACCCATAGTCTCGCCCACTGAAGACTCTAAATCCCAGGACATGATGGGATTTGTAGTCTTGGCGATTGGCGCCTAACACTAACAGAAGTGACATCACTGCTTCTGAGATCCCTCCTCCCAGAGCCCGGGGATTCAAGAACAAGTTGGGCAAAATAATTACATAACCTGCTTTTTTTTTTTTTTTTTTTTTTTTTTTTTTTTTTTTTTTTTTTTTGCACAACTGTTGTATTTTATTTTGAAAGTTTACATTAGAGGTTTTGTTTACCTATGCAAACATGGCTGTTGTACAGATTTTAAAGTGTCACTAACCCCACAACATTAAAATCAGTCTGTAGATGCAGTAAAGCATGCTTGTTATACTCACTATGGAACCTAAGGGGTTAATCCCTCGCAAAAAAGGATGTTCCTGTCTTCTCTGATCCTCCCCTTCTACTGTCCCCAATCCATCTGCTGATAGAACAGAGCCTTAAGGGGAAGCTGCACATGCTCAGTTTGCTAGTATATTGCTAGAGAGTGGGTTTTGTTTTTTTTTTTTTCTTGGGAGAGTGCATGTGATCAGCACAGGGCCAATCAGTGCTTTCCAGACAGGGTCTGGGGTTATGCAGCCTCATAGGACAATCGGGAAAATGAAAACTCCTCCTACAAGCTTTAAACCAGTGCTCAGCTGGACACTGATAGAAGTCACAAGACTGCTATATACTGCTGATGAGTTTTTAACCAGATAAGGTCACTTTGTTAAACAAGAAATAGCAGTAGGGGGCTCTGGACACAAATTTTTCACGAATTTATCAAATTCATCCTCTCCTGGAGGATCCCTATCCACATTTTGATAACCCAAGTGTAATACGTCAGAAAGCCAAATGAAAAATCCTTAGGAGTCTAAAGTCTTCACCTGGTTACAGCAATCCTAGCAAAAGTCTATTTCAGGGGCCACACAAAATGCATTGGCTGGTGCTCACAGTAGAAGTTTCAAGGGCCCTTGCCACAGCACTGACTGTTCATGACATCCTCTGCCTGCAGGAGTGATTTTGAGTCCCAATTGATATTCTGCCATTTTCCCCCAGCCCCAATGAAGGTGAATTGTATTGCCCCCAAAACGCGTTGTGCTGTTCTTTGCCCCGTTTGTAACCCCTTGAACAATGACTGGGGATTTTTTTATTTTTCATTTGGTGCTCTCGATGATTTTACACTTTTGTAAAGAGGTTCTTTGTGTAGCTTACTGTTGTGACTTCTGTATTGTTCTTGTCTAAACTAACTAGACTGCAGAAAATCCTGGCCTTGCCATCGCTGGATGACGTGTTGAATCCGGCCCAGATCAACCCGGCTCACATCATGTACAATATGACCCATACCAGCAAACATGGAGTGGTCTTCCTACAAGATAAGACAGGTTGGTGCAAGGTGTGCTATAACATTGGGTACAGAATGACATATGGCAATCACACATCTACTGTATATTAGGCAGCTGTTTCTAACTCGGCATTTAAAGTGACATTAAACCTTCCCCTTTTTTTTTTTTATTTATTTTTTTTTGTTTTGTGTTTTAATAATCATAAAATATTGGAGAGCTAGTAGGATTGTTAACCGCATGCCGCCCAGCCACTGTACATATACGGCGGCAGGGCGGCACTCACAGCAGGCAAAACCACGTTTTAAAACGTGTGTTTTGTAAACAAATAGGGGGCGCGCGCGGGAGGCGCGCTGCCGCCCTATTTGTCCTGTGGATCACCGCCGCAGATGTCAGTTGCCGGGTCACAGCCGCTCATTAGCGACTATGTCCCGGCGATCGGCGGTAAACGGCGAAAGAGAGCACAGCTGCAGTCGCTGTGCTGTCTGTCAGCTCGAGGATGAGCTGATCGAGAGAGAATAGTTTCACTTTCTCGATCAGCCTTGTCCCGCCCAGTACACCCCCCCCCCGCCCCCTAGTAAAACACTCCCCCTCACTCCTATAACTCTTCCCTGCAAAATAGTTAACCCCTTCCTCCCCATTGCCATTAGTACAGTGTCAGTTTTTTTTTTTTTTTTTTTTTTTTTGCACTGATCACTGTATTAGTGTTTTTGGGGATGTCAGTACCCCAGTACCCCCCAATGTCAGAATGTCCGCCGCAGTCCCGCCATAAGTCGCTGGTCGCCGCCATAAGTCCCTGATCGCCGCCATAATTCGCTGATCGCCCCCATTATTAGTATAAAAAAAAACCCTAAAAATCCCAGTATCTTTCCCGCCATTTGTAAACGCTATAACTTTCACGTAAACCAATCAATTTACACGTATTGGGTTTTTTTTAGCAAAGACATGGAGCAGAATGCATTTTGGCAGAAATTTATGACTAAATTTGATTTTTGCATTTTTTTTTTACTGGACATGTTTTATAGCAAAAAGTCCAAAATATTGTTTTTTTTTTTTCCTCAAAATTGTCAGCCTTTTTTTTTTTTTATAGCGCAAAAAATAAAAACCGCACAGGCGATCAAATACCACCGAAAGAAAGCTCAATTTGTGGGGAAAAAAGGATGTAAATTTCATTTATGTACCATATTGCATGACCGCGCAATTGTCCATTAAACTAGCGCAGCGCTGTATAGCAGAAAAATGGCGTAAATTACAGTATTTATACCATAGTTTGTAGGCGCTATAACTTCCACACAAAGCAATCAATATACACTTATTGGGATTTTTTTTACCAAAAACATGGAGCAGAATACATTTTGGCCTAAATTTATAACCAACTTTGAGTTTACTATATATTTTTTATAGCTGAAAATAAAAAAATATTATTTTTCTTCAAAATTTTTTTGGCGTTTTTTTGTTTATAGCGTGAAAAATAAAAAGCGCACAGGTGATCAAATTACACAGAAAGAAAGCTATTTGTGTGAAAAAAAGGATGTAAATTTCGTTTGGGTGCAGCATTGCATGACCGCGCAATTATCAGTTGAATTAGTGCAGCGCCAAGTAGCAAAAAGAGGCCTGGTCATTAAGGGGGGGGTAAATCCTCAGGAGCTCAAGTGGTTAATATCAGCAATTACAATTGTATAATTTTCATAGTTGGCAAAAGACAAAAAACCGCTCTGTATACCATTACAGATTGTCATTTTTCAGAGGCTCTATAGAAGACCTAGATATTTTATGTCATATTTTGTATTGACAAACATTTAAGCATTGCTCAGCCTCCATAATAAAATGTACAGTCCTATTGGATTTATCAACTTGCACTGAAATTGTGCTGCATGCCTTACCATAGTCAGGGTATTGGATTGTAATCTTGTGCGGCAGGGACTGGTTCACATGTGACTTGTGCTTTTACTTATGACGTTTTTTTTTGTTTTTTTTTTTTTTGTTTAGACGACCTTCCTCACTGGGTCTTGTCTGCTATGAAATGTCTGGCGAACTGTAAGTATATCAGTTGGGACTTGGTGTGTACAGGTCACATTTGAAATTGCCTACATTGAAGCCACTTTAAATTCTCCCATGCAAAGCAAGGCTGTCTGTCATTCCTAAAGATCATCATTTTGGTTGCGAAGCAAAATGGTGTTCTGTTCCTTGTAAAAGCCAATAAATCAAATCTACACTGAAAGCGCTAATTTAAAAAACCTCCTACCATTAATGCTTGCAATCAATTGTGATAACCATACAACATATAATCCTACAGCATGTGTAAAATAGAGGTCCATTCTGCACCGTGATCTGTGATTCCATACACTAATTCACTTGCAAGTCCCCATACAATGTGATCAGTCCTCCAAATACAACATAAACGTGCTGGTATACGTTCTCCAAATCCCAGTGCTGCAAATATCTACCTCCTAAGTGCAGTGCCTGTTCACCTTACGATTAGACCTAAAAGAAGTCTCCCACTATATTGTAAAGCGCTGAACAAACTTTTGGCGCTATATAAATCCTGTATAATAATAAAAGAAATAGGTCATACAGCGCTTAGGTGAAAATCCTTCTGCGGATCTGTCTCTGGCTTTTTGCAGCCACTTCCACATGCGGTCCTTTTTTAAGAGATCTCGCCTTACTGGTTCCAATGTGAGTCAAGCTCACAAAAAGGGAATAGAAATCATAGTACATCCCATGTATTGAATACATGAATAAACTATTTGGCTACATATGTATTCACAATGGTATAGTAAAATACCGCGTTGGATCCAAATGAAACAGGGCGTTTTCTCACCAAACTTCTGAATTGCACATATCAGGAAATTATGTCATTGCCTCCGCCCAACTAGTTTCACCACTAATCATGTGACGTCTTCAGGGTATCTGGAACCCTGAAGAAGTCACGTGATTAGTGATGAAACTAGTGAATGAATAGCCGTGGGCAGAGCCTCACACAGCCTCGTCCTTTTTTGTATTTCAATGGATTTTATTAATTAATAACCATTAACACAGGAGCAACAAATCACGCCCACGCAGGGGCTATCAATTGCACATGAAAGAATTAGAAAATTAGAGAAATCAGTGCTCTAACACCAACAGGGCAAAAGATCGCCCACGCAGGAGCTATCAATGGCACTTAAATAACAAAACCTAAATATAACACTGATAATAACTCAGACTAAAGGCAGCTATCCGCTGCCACACCAAAAGCAAACAGAAAAAAAGAGAGAAAAGGAAGGAGGAGTACAAAAGGAAAAAAAGATAACCAAACCAAGAGCAGGGATTCAAGAACGCCAAAGCCGAACAACATCACATCCCCAGGCTAGCCGGGGGCAGCATGGGAAAGGTATATTTCAACCACGGCTCCCATATTTTCAAGAATTTACATTGGGAGTCGTTGCAGATACTCAACATCTGTTCATTGAGCATCATAGTGGTCATACAGTCCCGCACCCCCAGAAGAGGGACAAACGGACTCTTCCAGGCCTGAGCAGTTGTTCTAGAGGCCGACAAAAACAGCCTCGACCTTTATAAATTGTGACAGCAGGTGTGGGGAGAAGATTCCTGGCCTGTAATCACAGCATAGGTCTCAGTGCGGGGGGAGCTATTATATTACACCCTGGATATGGATATACCATGTTATAAAAAAGTGAACTTGTCTTTTTAAAAGGCTGACACCTGAGTGTAAACACAACACCTATCACATAAAAATATAATATCAGCCGTTCTGCTACTGTAGGCCTTGTGGGGATTTCCATTGTTACTAAAATGTTGATGCTGGCTTCTTTCAATAAAACACATCATTGAGCAAATGCTTCTCCTATTTTCTTGACTTGTTTTAAATACTTATTTATGTTTTTTGGCTTTTAGGGCCAAGAAATAATGATCTGAGTCAGCCTACTTATCCTGGGTTTGAACGTGATGTTTTTAGGACAGTTGCTGACTATTTCTTGAATCTCCCGGGACCCCTTCTCACCTATGAGTATTATGAGCTCTTTGTGAATATTTTGGGTATGTATGTACATTGTAATGTCTGCAGTCCTGACCTAATACATCTGTGTAGCTGTTTTGTGGTAGCTTTGCTGAAGACCCTAATATGCATCCAGGCAGATGCTGAGCTTGTGCATTACAAACTGTTTCCCAGGGAGCTTATTGGCAGCTTTTATGCATGAGCTGATAGGCATCAGTGTGGACTTCAGCAAGTGTCCCAACTGCATCTGGCTCTAAGGTTTTTGTTTTGTTTTTTTTTGTTTTTGTTGTTTTTTTTTGTTGGTTTTTTTGTTTGTTGTGTGGTTTTTGTTTTTTGTTTTTTTTTTTTTGTTTTTTTCCCCTCATTTGGGCCACTACATCTGGCTTATTTTTAAGCTTTGTTTTTTGTAGCACTAGCTTGCCAGAGTTTTTAACATGAGTGACAACATTGCTTATTTAATACCGTTTGCCCACTAAATAACTGTTTTGGCACTGTCTTCTATACTAATTTCCTAGCTGCTTTATTTGTCCTCCTCACATTCCTCTGGTTATATTTAACATGTATTTCATTCCTTGATAGTCGTATGTGGCTACATTACAGTACCCCACAGGCGCACCACGAAGCATAAACCAAAGAAGGGAGTTTCTAGGCAGCAGCAATCTAAGCCTCTGCAGCCAGGCGATGCCACCTTTAAGTCCACGGAATGCCTCCTTCTTAGCCTGCTGCGCAAAGTTCCCAACGAAGAGGAGCAAGATGATGATGACACCTTTGGTGAGATCGGCCGACGACAACAGGACTTTGCTCTCAGAGATTCACGCAGGACCCAGGTGTACGGCACCATGGATAGACAGTCCAGGGGTAGCAGCAGGGTCGTCAGCAGCAGCTGCCAGAATCTCTCCATTTCTGGAAGGGATGCCAGTGAGCCCTACAGAGTCCGGATACGCAGCTGCTCTTTGGAGGGCATTGCCGATGTGTCGTATTCCAGTAATGATGGCAGCAATGCTGACTCTTCCAGTTTAAAACCTTGCTCCCCAAATCTGCCATCAGAGGACAATTCTGCACTTTTAGGAGGAAACGCTCATTCTTTGCCATCTTCTGGTGGTCAAGTACAAACTCTGCAATTTTGGCCAACTGCGGACAGATATGATCCAATCCCTGATTCCAGAAGACTGTCTAGATCGCAGAGTCTGGGTGATTGCCTCGGCCCTTGCTCTAGTATAAATGCTCCCGTGGCTGAGATTACTATCAAACCCACCCAATCTGCACAAAGTCGGCTACAGAAGCGGTTGAGTTCTATCGGCGTGGTGGAAACGGCTGATCCGGATATCACTGTAACCAAGCGCTTGTGCCAGAGTACTATGGAACTCTCCAGTTCCCCTCTCACCTCCAGCTCTCCTCTACTGCACGTTTCCCAGCCCTGCACTGGCACGCCAAGTAAGATTAACACTGTTGTTGCATGAGAACCCCAACACCATTGCATGATCACACTGCATGCTATGCTTCCATTACCCACCGTAATCTTGTCTCGTCTTCATCTTGTCTGTTGCTTGTTTTATATAAAGCATGCTTTGCTTGTGTCTGCATTGCTTAACTAAGAATGCAAAAGTCAGTCCATGCAAAACTAACCTCGTTTCAGATTGTAGTAGAACCTGGAAAATTAAACCTTACAGTTTCTGTACGTGTTTCAGTAAATTCTGTAGAAAAAAATTATTTTTAGCCAGGTAGGATAAGAGTGGCCAGGTAGTGAAAAAAGAAGAAAAAATAAAAAAGCCGTGTAAAATGACAAGCTCTGTATAGTGCTCAGTGTGAATGGGTCCACTGCCAAGGTCCAGGATGCTGGCGGCGCTCGTGGCAAATTGGTCATAAAAGGAACTTCTGCACTCCAGGCTGATAAAACCAACACTTTTTTTTTTTTTTTTTTTTTTTTTTTTTTTTTTTTTCTTCCCATTTTATAATAGGGAAGGGTTAACCTGACGGTTTAAATTTTTTTTTTTATTTATGGAGATTTTTCCTTCACTTCCTGTCCAGCAGAATCAACAAGATGTGAGAGGATAATCCCCTCTTTGACAGTTGTCACAAGATCGAGTGTCTCCATTGGAAGTTTTGATTTAGTTACGGGTTAAAGCGGTTCTCCAGGCACTTTGTAAATAAAAAAAAATGTCAGCCGCTGCAAATACCTTAATAAGAAAGATAGAGATATATATATATATATATATGCCCTAACAGAGAAAAAACTAATGGGATTTTAAAGCACCATACCATATGAAAGTATAAAGATGCACAACATGAAAACCACTAGATAAAATAACATGTTTTATTGTAATTTTTATAAAATAACCACATAAGTGGTAAGAGAGACCAATTGGTCAGCCAAAATAGACACACCAAGCAGAAAAAACATAGAATAAATCTATAAGTAACAAAAGGGGGGGAAGGCTCCGGCCCGGGACTCATAGGGGTCACGAGCAAGAGTCTAAGAGCCCCAACAATACCATCAGATACATAGATCATCAATAGGCAAATGTATTTCCATAAAGTTAAATTACTGATCCAGAAATCCGACACGTTTCGTGGGATAAGACCCAGTTCCTCAGGGAATTTAGGAAAACAAAATAACAGTGCCGATGATGATGCTCTGTACAATAGTAACACCTGATGTGGATGAAGATCAATATTGGTAGAAATACACAAAAAAGCCTTATACAGCGGACATCGGGGGGAAAAAAAACCATCTCCAGTTCTGGTCCTTTTAGGGAACCATTAGTCCAAGAGTACCTCTGGTCAGGTAAACTGCAGAAAGCCAAACCAATGTTTGTTACAATTGTGCAAGGCTGCAGTAACCAATCATCAAAATTCAATGATGAAACCCAAGCTTAGCCATATTCAGATGGTAAAAGAGCAGAAGTTCCAGCAATGGACAAAGAGGGCAAAACCTGCCCAAACGAGCCTCAGTGTAGTCCTGTAATAAGACACTTACCTGTCCAGGGACCCAGCGCTGTCCTCACCCAGGCAGTTTCTTCACAGGTCTTCGGGTCTCTTGCAGCTTCATAGCTGGCTTCTCACTGCACATGTGCAAGCTGCGCTGTGCTGTGTGAATGGTCCAGCAGCCTCCTGGGACCTGTGACACGTCTGTGGAAGCTGCAGGCGAAGAGAAGGGGAGGCCGTACTCCCACTCAGATCACCTAAGCTATTTATAGGACACTTGCCTGTCCAGTGATCCAGTGCTGTCCTCATCAAGGCCAGTTCTTCACTGGTCTTTGAATCCCCAGTGCTATGTGGGAGGAAGAATGGAACTTCCTTTTTTTTTCAATGAAGTCTAATCTTAATGTTCCCTCTCCCCCTCTTATCACCTATTCTGGCTAACCTGTGTTAAAAAAAATATGTATATACTTACCTAATTTCAGGCTGCTCTTGTCCAGTCATGTGATCTGGCTCCTCGGTATCAGTGAGCGGCAGCTTATAGGTGATGCTGCTGCTCCCAAGCATCACCAGCCATTTTCATCGCTCTCTTCTCTCCCCTGCAGCCACCACTGACTGATACAGGGGCGATCACATGACCAGATTGGAGTAGCCTGAAAATTTAAAAAAATGGCTCCTAACCTTTTTTTAGCTGTTTATCAATTGCCTGAACAGCGTCCAGAACGGACTCTCAGAACGGAAGAAAAAGGGAAAGAGAGCTATATGGGTGCTCCAGATGACAAATTGTAAGCTCACCTTTACAGAAATGTAAGGTAACCTTACAATGGACCCCATCCCCCTGCTACCCGTCCCGCTGTACTAGTCCCTCCACGATCCCCCTCAGTCAGGCACTGGAACACCGCTTCACTGGTCCAGGGATTTGAAATCTATTGTGGCTTTCTCTCTTTTCCTCCCAGCACTGACAGGACGGCCTAGATGGATTCTGATTGGTCAACACCTTCCATATAAGTGTGATGACCAATTACAATGCGTCTTGTCCATACGCTGAGAGGTAAGAATAGGTGGTTAAGCGGCGGGGACTTCAAGTACCTAGATCAGTGCAGAAGTGTCCTGGTACCTGACAGCTGACAAAAGCCCAGGCTCCAGGACACAATTTCCAGTTGTCATGGCGACCTGGCTCTTGGGATTTGTCGAGCCCTGACATAAGGCACATGTGATGAAAGGGGGAGGGGACATAAAGCACACAAGATGAAAGGGGGGAGGGGACATTGAGTATGTATGTATGTGTGTTGGTTGGATGGAGGGAGGAGGGGGTTTCGATATCTAAACAGTATTAAAAAAAAAGGAGGTGGTGTGGATCTGCAGAGAGACCACGGTTTCCACACAGAGCAAGGGTTCTTCTCTACAACTTGCTGGCAGGAGAGAGGCTTTTCTACTTGGGCTGTGGCTGCTTTCTAAAGAAAATGAAGTGTACGTCCTTACATGTGTTTTTGATTTGATATTATTTCGTGCTATGTTTGTCATGTATTTTGTTTGTTTTTTCTTTTCTTTCCCCTGCTTGTGTGTAATTTTTTAGCTTTTCACAAATGAATCAAACTGCGATTTATTTTATAGATTCCACAGTCCTTTTTTTACTACTTTTACAGAATACTTACCATTTAAACAAGACCATTATACGCTTGTTTTTAATGATTTGAATGAAAAAGATTGTGTGATTTACATGTTCAGCTTTATGTGGAGACCACTGAACCTAAAATCCACGGTTCCACCTTATAACACTTTAAAAAATGTTTGAAAAAGTTTTTGGGAATATTTGGGCTTGTGTGAGCAAAGGAGAGATCTGTAGATTTTAGTCGTCTGTCCCCTGTGGGTGCCAGCAGGGATCTTCCTCGAATTATTTGACAGGTTATATTGCTAGTCATGGCAATGGCTCAGAAAATTTGGAAAGGAGTATTCAGCCCCTATCTTGCTCTTTTGCTTCCACAGCCTGTGTTAGATATTCCCAATGGGATACAATAACATTTTATCTATGTAGGCGTACCAATGACAGCTGTAGATAATCATTTTAGCTTCCAAAAAAATAAAAACCGCATGTCATTGGCACGTTGGAGCTGAACGTAACTGAAGACAATGACTAATGAATGTTAATTAGAAGCTTCCCGTTCTCCTAGTCTGTTTAAAGCCCAGTGGAGCCATCTACATTACTGGAAGGCAGGCTGTATATATAGTAATAGCAGCTAAAAAAAAAAAAAAAATAATGAAACTGCATAAGTGTTCCGCCATGAGTTAAAATAGCCTGTGCTAGTAGCAAAAGTCGATGCTGATTTACACACTGCTTTTACATGGCGTACAATGGCCCAGGTGTCCAGCAAGTGGTCCAACCCTGTTGACGGGGCAGTTTTTTTGGGGGGATGGTCTCCAGCAGCCCAGCCCTGTTGATTAAAGTAGTGTGTGGTCCAACCATGTTGATTGGTACAGTGTTATGGGGAAGGGGAGAGCTCTCCAGTGTTTCAACCTTGTTGGTTGGGGCAGTGTGCCAGGGAACAGTGGAGATCTCCAGTGGTCCAACTCTGTTGATTGGAGTAATGTGCCAGAGAAGAAAGCTGGGAGGTCTCCAGCAGTCCAACCCTGTTGATTGGAGCAGTGTGTCAGGAGGAGGAGGTCTCCAGCGGTCCAACCCTGTTGATTGGAGCAGTGTGTCAGGAGGAGGAGGTCTCCAGCGGTCCAACCCTGTTGATTGGAGCAGTGTGTCAGGAGGAGGAGGTCTCCAGCGGTCCAACCCTGTTGATTGGAGCAGTGTGTCAGGAGGAGGAGGTCTCCAGCGGTCCAACCTGTTGATTGGAGCAGTGTGTCAGGAGGAGGAGGTCTCCAGCGGTCCAACCCTGTTGATTGGAGCAGTGTGTCAGGAGGAGGAGGTCTCCAGCGGTCCAACCCTACCGATTGGAGCAGTATGTCAGGATGGGCAGGTGTCCAGCTGGCCAACCCTGCTGTTTGGAGCAGGGCGTCAGGGAGGGAGGGGGGGGGGGGTCTCCATCAGTCCAACCCTGTTGATTGGAGAAGTGTGCCAGGGAGGGTGAGGTCTCCAGCAGTCTAACCCTGTTGATTGGAGCAGTGTTCTGGAGGAGGGAAGGTCTCCAGCAGTCCAGCCCTGTTGATTGGAGCTGTGTTCTAGAAAGGAGGTGGTCTAACTCTGTTGGTTGGGGCAGTGTGTTTTGTGGGGGGAGGTCTCCGACGAATTCAACTTTGTGTTGACTGGAGCAGTGTGCCAGGGAAGGAGGAGGTCTCTAGTGGTCCAACATTTTTGATTGGAGCAATGTGATGAGAAAGGGGGGAGGTCCCCAGTGGTACAACCTTCTTGGTTGAAACTGGGAAGGGAGAGAGATCTCCAGTGGCCGAGCCCTGTTGATTGGAATAGTGTGCTAGGGAAGGGTAGAGGTCTCAGCTGTCCAACTCTGTTGATTGGAGCAGTGTGCCAGGAGGTTTGCTGGAGACTGGGGCCACCACTTATCTGTGAGAGGAGGAGTCCAACTCTCCAATGCGCTGCGGGTTTTAACTCTCGCTGCAGCACTTATACAGCAGCATTATTATGTCTGCAGCCTGACCTTTTTAATGAATATAAAGGGTTCTGTTACACTTTTTTGTGTGTATCTAAACCAGGGAACAAAAATGTAATGTATTGCAGATTACCAGTCATTAATTTTTTTGTTTTTGAGGGTCACAATCCCAGACTCCATGTGTGGTAACCTTTTTGTGGTATTTTAAGTTCACTGGTTTCCTCATTGACGTCTGTGTGACATTGTCAGCAAGTGTCTATCCGAATCTACTTGCCCTATCCCAGGATGGTTGTGGGCTTCCAACTCTTGTGTTAGCCAGCCACTGATCTCGCTGTGACTTCTGTATTCTCAGGCTTGCTGCAGCCTCACCTGGAGAGAGTAGCTATAGATGCTCTGCAGCTTTGCTGCCTGCTGCTCCCACCTCCAAACCGCAGGAAGCTGCAGCTGCTGATGAGGATGGCCTCCCGCATGAGCCAGAACGTGGATATGCCACGACTACACGACGCCATGGGCACCAGATCCCTGGTAAGAGCCATTTGTTCTCAAGCATTGCTGTATGTTTAAATGAATGCTGGGCACTGATCAGTCAGATGTTGGTTGCTTTTGGAACAAGATCTGTAGTTTTTGTGCTGCTTTGTGGCATATATGCTGCTCTTCTGAATAGCTGAATCTGTAAGTCTCCGATAATAAGGAGCACATTTTCATCACTGATATGTATATTTTGCTGCTGTTTTATGGTGCTGCTTATACCTGAAAATCAAAAATGAAGCCTTGCTATAAGACAAATCCTAAAGCTTAGCCTTTTCCGGGAACCTGGTATTAAAGCTTAACTGGTATTAAACCCGCAGCTTTTTTTAACCACTTGCCCTCCAGAGGATTTACCACCCAACTCCCCCATCCCCCCCCCCCCCCCCCCCCCGACCAGGCCATTTTCTGCGTTACTTTACAATTGCGCGGTCATCCAGCACTGTGCACCCAAATGAAATGAAACGTCCCCTTTATTTCTTTTCCCACGAATTGAGCTTTCTTTTGGTGATATTTGATTGCCTATGTGGTTTTTGGGATTTTTTTTTTTTTTTTGCACTATCAAAAAAGGCCGACAATTTTTTGAGAAAAAAAAACATATTTTTGACTTTTTGCTATAAAACATGTCCAGTAAAAAAAAAATTTAAAAATCAAATTTTGTCATAAATTTAGGCCAAAAATGTACTCTGCTACACGTCTGCTTAACAAAAAAAAAAAAAAAATCCCAGTACATGTAAATTGGTTTATGTGAAAGTCATAGTTATAGCATCTACTAATGGCGATATGTATATATGTGTATATATAATGTATGTGTGTGTGTATGTGAGAGAGAGAGAGAGAGAGCGCTCACACACACGTGTGTGGTTTTTTGTTTTTTTTTTTACTTTTTTAATGGTGGCAATCAGCGACATATAGCGGGACTGCGGCGGGCATGCTGACAATGAGGGGAACTGACACCAGTGACACCAATACAGTGATCAGTGCTAATAAAAAGCTGACACTGTACTAATGACACTGGACAGGAAGGGGTTAACATCTGGGGCGATCAAAGAGCTAATGGTGTGCTGTTTTACTAGGGGCTGTGTGTTAGTGCTTCATGGTAAACACATTGTGGGGGGGGGGGGGGGGGTTCAGGTGTGTGTGTGTGTTTTGTGTGTGTGTGTGTGTGTGTGGGTGTGTGTGTGTGTGTGGGGGGGGGGGTGTTTTTGTGTGGGGGGGGGGGCGGTGTTTTGGGGGGTGTGGTGGGGGGGGGGGGGGGTTGATGTGGTGGTGTATGGTTGTTTGTGTGTGTTTTGGTGTTTCGTTTGGACTGGGGGTTTTGTGTGTGTTTTTGTTGTTTGGGGATGGGGGGGGGGGTTCAATTTTATAATTTCATGTGTTTTTTCTGTTGGTTGAACTTGATGGAATTAAAGGGTAATCTTAAATGCTGTAGCATTCAAGAGAATGTAGAACTCAATCATTTGGAGTGTCACATACATTTTTGGCTGTATAGTGTATGTATTGTTTGAATATAAATTGTGTAGAACTTGGTCTTTGACCCTTTTGTTTATAAATCTGTGGTGTCCTTGTCCTTCCAGATGATCCATCCAGACATTCTCCCCGATGTGTACTGTGCTGTGCTGAGGAGGTGGATCTGGATGAATTACTTGCTACTAGACTGGTCTCCTTCCTCATGGACCATCACCAAGAGGTGCTGGAAGTGCCCTGCTATCTGCAGTCTGCTGTACAGGATCATATTCACTACCTTCAGAAACCTCGAGTAGGTGATCTTCTAGGAATAGATGGTTGGAAGTGTCCCTTTTTTTCCTGGGGTGTAAATGTCTAAAGTCTGTCTTTTCTTTCCTTCTTTCTTCCTCTTCCTCTTCTTCCTCTTCTTCTTCTTCTTCTTTTCTTCTTCTTCTTCTTCTTCTTCCTTCTTCTTCTTCTTCTTCTTCTTCTCTTCTTCTTCTTCTTCCTTCTTCTTCTTCCTCTTCTTCTTCTTCCTCTTCTTCTCTTCTTCTTCTTCTTCTTCTTCTTCTTCTTCTTCTTCTTCTTCTTCTTCTTCTTCTTCTTCTTCTTCTTCTTCTTCTTCTTCTTCTTCTTCTTCTTCTTCTTCTTCTTCTTCTTCTTCTTCTTCTTCTTCTTCTTCTTCTTCTTCTTCTTCTTCTTCTTCTTCTTCTTCCTCTTCTTCTTCTTCTTCTTCTTCCTCTTCTTCCTCCTCTTCCAAGTTTCACCGAACCTTTTGAGAGTTTCACCGAACCTGCATATTTGAAAGATGTTGGGTCATCTTTGGCCGTGATGGATAGTGCCAAATGGGAATTTTATAAAACCTTCTTTTTTTTTCCTTGACAGAAGTTTTAGTTGAAATTGTTGTTTTTTTAACGATTGCATAGCCTCTGTCTCGCTCTCACTCTCTCTCCAAATTCCCCTTCACCCAAATCTGCTGTGTCAGAGCTGGAGTTCACCAATCAGCAGGGAGCATGAGCTTTGCAGATTTCAGGGTTCATGTCAGACCTCTGCAGGGAGACAACCGCTTCCACACAGAGCTAGGGTTCCCCTCTGCACCATGCTGGCGCTCAGGTTTTGGCTGCTTTCTAAAGAAAACCCATGTAAGACTTCGCACACACCTTCTGTGTTGATGCACCTGGAACGCATTTATTGGATTTTAAATGAAAGTTAATTTTAGGCTTTAAAATGCTTATTAGACCACTTACTGTGCTGACTATTTTTCGAACACACCTGCCGAAGCCTAAACTCGTATTTATAATCTACTCCCAACTCAATTGCCTACTTTTGCCCTCCATGCATACTCATGACTAGATGGGAGGAAGACTTGAGGGCCCAAAAAATGAAAACTGCCTGGCAAGATGCATGGTCCACTGTCGCCCCCTGCACCTTTTTAATGTCACTACCCTCAAGTCGTCTTATAAGGTCCTGACCAGGTGGTTATCTGGTGCCTGCTAAATTGGCCCATATGGTTCCTGGACATTCTGGCCTATTATTCAGAGAATATCATGCTACTGGAGATGTCCTCCATATGTGATGGACCTGTCCAATATTGGTCCAAAGTGTTCTCCCTTTTTATGCATGATATTCGGAATTCGTTTTTTTTCTAGGGATCCCTGGCTGGCGCTTATACACTTTTAAACCTCCAACTGTCTCTAAAACAATTTAAAGCGGAGTTCCACCTAAAAATTAAAAAACAAAAAAAAAAAACTGTAGCTGCTGACTTTTAATATACAGCCACTTACCTGTCCCTCGGTCCAGCGGTGTCCTCACCACCGCTGGCTTAACCGGCCGTCTTCTCTCCCTGGTGCCGGCATGTTCAGTGTGGGCACCCGGCTGTGACAGCTTGCGGCTTCACAGCCAGGTGCCCACTGTGCATGCGTAAGAAGCGTTGTGCTTTGTGAATGGCGCGTAGAGGCGATCGTAAGCGGAAGTTGTCCTCCCCCGTAGTCTTCTGGGACACGTGACCAGTCCCAGAAGACTACGGGGGGGGGAGTGAGGACAACTTCCGCTTACGATCGCCTAGACGATCGCAGCAAAAGTGGAAGCGGGTACCTGTCAAGTTCGGGTACCCTCTCCCCAAAGGTACCAATCCTTAATGGGGAGCGGGGGACAATGGCTTTTAATGGAACTTCACCTTTTGGGTGGAGCTCCGCTTTAAGCTTATCCACCGCTCAAACTGATCCCAAGGAGTCGGAGAACGTTGTGTGATGGATGGCCCCAGCCGTAGCTCCAGCCACGCCCTCTGATGCGTTTCACCCCGCCCATAGGGGGCTTGGTCAGAGGCTATGGGCGGGGCACAGTGCATCAGAGGACATGGCCGGAGCACCGGCTGAGGCCATCCATCACACAGCGCTGTTCTCTGACTCTTGGGGATCCGTTTGAGCGGGGTTCATCTTTACACATAATTTCAAGTCTCTGCAGCTTGGGACACTGCTCCCTCTCCCTTTCTCTGCCGGCTGGGCGATTTATAATTCACAATCACAGATTTTTAAGGTTATCCGTTTCTGCTTTACTAGCCTCCAAATTGGTGATAGCCAGGGCTTGGAACAAACCATTTGTCTGCTCTGAGATCAAATCCCTGGTCTGTGTTGTGTGGGGTTTTTTTTTTTTTTTTGTGAATGAACAATTGACCAGCATCCTCACAAACTCCTCCTATAATTTTGCCAGATCTAGATCCTGTGGATTGCAAATCGGCACCTGACCATCACCGCCTAATGTGGGCCCCTATTATGAACACCTTGGGTGATGTGGACCCCCCTGTGTCGTGCTCCCTGACCCCCCCCCCCCCCCTCATTTTTCCTCCTCCCTCATCTCTTCCTCCTCCTGCCTGTTCAGATTACTGTATATGGTACAGTCTATATGTTATCTATGCCATGTCTGGTTTTCTCTTTTTCTCTAATGTTTATTGGCCTCTGATATTGAGACTGTGTGTCGATTTACAATCTTCTATGGTCTCTACTTTAAAGCAATCTACCTTCTGGCCACGTTACTGTTTGTAATTGCATGGAGTCTGTTCAGTACATCCCTGGTCATGTAAACAGGTCTGTGTTCCTCATGGTGCTTCACTAGGACTGTGGTCTTGCTGGCTTGTGGAGGTGAAGAGGACAGCTGTCAACACTAGAAAAATGTTGCATCTATCCTATTACAGCAGCCTGGATTTCGGGGTTCCATCACTCTGCCATAACCTGTTCAGTATTTAATTTTGCCACTGACAGGTTCACTTTATAGTTACATTTTGAAGAACAAGTTACCTGATCGGGAGGGACTAGAACCAGGAAGATTGGCAAGGAGACCACTTTTACTGGTGTACCCATGAGATCTAGGATGTGACGCATCCCATTAGAATCCACCTTTAATCAAGATGCCACCGTTGTGTGGGTAATGCTTTGTATTTTTAATTTATTTATTACAGGTACTTGTATAGCGGCTTCAATTTACGCAGCACTTTACATATGTATTATACATTCACATCAGTCCTTGCCCTCAAGGGGCTTACAATCACAGTGGCTAAATGGTTAGCACTTCCGCCTGGCAGTTACTAGGGTCGTTGGTTCAAATCCCAGCCATGGCACCACCTGCCTGGAGTTTGCATGTTCTCCCTGTGCCTGCGTGGGTTTCCTCCCACACTCCAAAGACCTGCTGGTAGGTTAACTGGCTCCTGTCTAAATTGTCCCTAGTATGTGTATGTATGAATGTGAGTTAGGGACCTTAGATTGTACGCCCCTTGAGGGTTAGGGACTGATGTGAATGTACAATATATATGTAAAGCGCGGCGTAAAGTGACGGCGCTATATAAGTACCTGAAATAAATAAATAAAATCCAGGCAGGTAGTGTCATGGTTGAGATTTGAACCGAAAAGTGTAGAACGGGTAGCAACAACATTTCAAAATGGTAAATTCAACAGCAAAACTTAATTTCCTGATTGGTCTCTATAGGTTATACATTCCGCTTGTTCCTCCTGGGCTCTGGAGACAATGAATATTGTAGCAGTAGGTGTATGATGTGTGGCTGTCCTCCTATAGCCCCACAGTCTGCTTTTCTGTTTGTTCTGTATGGATCCTTCCTGAATAATGGCGTTTTTGTTTTGTGTAGGTGAAAGGCCAACCTCCCGGCTTTTATTTCTGTAAGCAGATAAGCACACAGGAATTTGAGGAGCAGAAAATGGTGACCTCACAGGCTGCTATTATGGACCTGCTGGAAAGTATTGTGAAAGACAAAAACCTTTCTGTGAAGGACAAGAAGAAGAAGCTAAAGCAGGTCAGACCTTCTATACTCGGCTAAGCAAATATTAGATCTGCCAAGGCATAAAGCTAAAACTGATAGTATGGAAAGAGCCATTAAATAAAACTGCCCTAAAGGAAAATATTTTCTTCCTACCTCCCTGTCTTTGTGACACCAGCACAAGAAATGGGGAGAGCAGGGGTCACTAGGACACAGAAAATGTATTTTTATTACTGTGCTCCTGTTGGAAAGATTATCCATAACCTCCTCCTGTCCCTGTGTCACCCGTCATCTGCACAGGAAGTGAGCAGAAATCACCACAAAGGGGTCATAGAGAGCAATAGAGGCCCAGCACAATTGCTGATGCTCTTTCTCACTAAAACGTGTGTTTTATTAAACAAAAAAAGAAAAACTTGGTGACACTGACAGCGGTGTGGATGGAGCAGAACACACAAGGACATAGTAGTATTAAGGCCCTTCCTTATTTTGGGAGGGCTAAACAAGGGGAAGGCCAAAGGGCAATAATCCAAACAGGGGCAGACAGAAATATAACAGGGTGGCAATAGGGCACATCAAGAGAGAAGTCCAGAGACACAGGGCAGCAATCTGGTGCAGCAGGGACTTAGTCCAGAGCCACAGTGAAACAATCCGGGACAGTGAGTGGCAGGCCGCAATCTGGTGCAGCAGATGTTAAGGTCATGGGGCAGCAGTACAGGCACAACAGGGATAGGCAGCAGTAGGCACAGCAAGGGTTCAGGGGCTAGCCAGTAAACAGCAGCCTCAGCTGAGTAAGTCCGGACAGAGTGGCAGGGGACAGAAGGTCCTCAGGGCCTTCACATGTACATCGTGGGTCCTCAGAAGACTGTCTTGGCCACAGCTTCAGGACCCAACAGGCAGCAGTTACAGGAAGCGCAGAGAGGGGAGTAGAGTCCCATGTCTAGAAAGCCACACAGATGATGAACTGCAAGTCCCAACAGTGCTGAAAGCAAAGCACAGCCCAAGCAGAACTATTTGTCTCCAGCAGTTCCATGCATCTTCTAGCCTCCTTCTCTTGGGAGTTACAGCCATGAGCTTCTCTGTCCATCACCGGAGTAAGTTCTGCAGATTCTGACCCTCTTCTTTATCTGGTACTTTGAATTCTGCCAAGGAGCTCCACTAACTTGTTGGTGCTGAAGTGTCTGCCTCTATCCTGGTACTGGATACACTAACCTGTGTGCTACCCACAGAGTGTAGCCTCCTCTCATACCCCCCCCCCCCTGGAGGACACAGGAGCTCACAGACCAAATTATGCAGATAAGTTGACTTTGTCACAACGCTGCATCTGGATTAGAGTTTATCAATTTCACAAAAGGATAAAAGAAAAATCCAATATTTCTGACCTACGTTACAGACACTAGACTCTGGGTTGATTTATTTATTTTTTAATCTTAAAGTATGTATTCTTAAAGCGGAACATCACCCACGCATGCACAAGCTGCACTACACTTTGTGAAAGGCCCTGCTGTCTTCTGGGACCTGTGATGTGTCCCAGAAGGCTGTGGAGGAAGGGGTCTGAACCAGGTTCCCCCCCTTGTTATTGGCACTTTTTTTGGGGGGAGGGGGGGGGGGGCCTGGTTCTTACCCCTTCCCCCACAGCCTTCTGGGACACATCACAGGTCCCACCAGAAGACAGCAGGGCCTTTCACAAAGCTCAACGCAGCTCGTGCTTGTGTGGGGGGAAACTAGCTGTGAAGCCACAAGGTTTTAGTGCCAGTTTCCTTTACTTAACCACTAGCCATCCGGCCGCTGTATATATAAATGGCCGGACGGTAGCAGTCCAGGGGCGGGTTACCGTTCATAAACGGCACCCGCCATTATGGACTGTGCGTGCTTCTGGGGAGCGTGCAGCACAGAGATCCAGTGCCCGCTGTGTACTCCAGACACGGTGGAACACCGATCGTCGGACGGGACCTCTGTACGAGGTCCTGATCATGTGATCACGGATTGGCCAATCCGTGATCACATGCAGAGTAGTAAGCAAGATCTCACTTCTGACATCATTGCTTACTACGTGTGAAATCTGTGAATGATCAGAGGTCACATGGTACAAGGCTATTCACAACAGCCTCTTACCATGTGACAAGCTGTGACAAATCGCAGCTCACACAGTAATTCTCAGTGGCTGCAATAATGCAGCCAGAGAGGAGAAATTATTGCTTTTATAGCCTTTAAGTAAACGGTGTAAAAAAAAAATGTAAAAAAAAATCATCACCCCACAAGTAGTACAGTGTCACCATGGTGACACTACTGCTAGGGTGACAGTATGTAGAAAAAAAAAAACATAAAATAAAAAGTGTAAAAAAAAAAAAAAAATTCAAAATTATAATTTTTGGTTATAAACTAATTTTGGGTTATTTTAATTTTTTTTTTGCTAAAAAGATAACGGAATACATTTTGGCCAAGATTTATGATGAAACATTATTTATTTGCAAAATTTTATAAGAAACTTTTTTTTTTTTTTTTTTTTTTTTTTTTTTATATAGTAAAAAAAATAAAAATCCCAGTGAATAAATACCACCAAAATAAAGCTTTATCTGTCTCAAAAAAATGCTAAACAATTCATATGGGTACAGTGTTGCATGACCACGCAATTGTCATTCAAAGTGTGATAGCGCTGAAAATGAAAATGGCCTGGACAGGAGGGGGGTGTGAAAGTGTCCGGACTGGAAGTGGTTAAGATGCTGTCATCTAGACCCAAACCCAAAGAATCTGCTCAAGTGAGGACATCCCTGGATCCCTGGACAGGAAACTATCATTTTATATTAAAAAGTCAGCAGCTAGAGTATATGTAGCTTTAACTCAAAAGTCCCTTCTCATGCGTTTTGCCTCCTCCAAATCCCTTTTTTTCTTTCTGCTGTGATTGGACTTCCTGTTAGAGGGTGGGTACGTTCATTCTCCATGGTCCCACTGTAGGACTATAGCCTCCCTCTATTGCTTGCTCCTGAGGTGGACTATGGGATGTGTAGTGTATTCTACATGACCGCAACAAACGTGGACTGCTTATTCCGAAAAAAAAGGAAAGTTGAGGGGGTAAAGGAGAGATTTGGAGGGGCTAACAGAGAATGTTGCAAGGAGGAAGAAATAAACATAATCCATTTCATGAAAAATACAAATTACAGAGCCATTAAAGCGGAGGTCCAGTCAAATTAAAAAGGAGAAAAAAACCTGTAGCAGCTGCTGACTTCTAAAAGAAAAGGAAAAAAAAAAAAAAGACACCCACCTGTCCCCCAATAGCATGGTATCCTCACACCGGCCGGGCTTACTGGCCATCCTCTGTCCCCGGTGCTGGCATCTTTAGTGTGGGCACCCAGCTATGACAGCTTGTGGATTCACAGCCGGATGCCCACTGTGCATGCGTGAGTAGCCCTGCATTTTGTGAATGGTCCCATAGTCTTCTGGGACCGGTCACATGTCCAAGAAGACTACAAGGAGGACAACTTCTGCTTCCGATTGCCTAATTCGGGTACCCCATTATTAATAGCTTTGACAAGGAGACCTAGGATGTGACCCGCCTTATCAAGAGCAGAGTGTTGGCAATATGTGGGAGCCGAGTCTCAACTAGGAGCCCCTATACCATGGCAGGACTCGAAGCAAGTCTCTATTCTGAAGTACCAGAGGCAAAAATCAGTATGTGCTGCTGTTGGCGCTAGTCAATGCTGTGTCAACACAGACTTTTTTTTTATTTACAAGAAACTGGAATGGTTTTAGTTCAATTTGATTTTAATCTTTTAGTCTTTTTGACTTTTTTCTTTTTTTATATTAAAAATCTTATTTAAAGAAAAAAAAAATTAGTATGGCAAGCAAGCGACTTGCTATTGGAGGCACAGGGGGAAGAGCCAGGAATGCTGACAGGGGATCCGAGAAGAAGAGGATCTGGGCTGCTCTGTGCAAAACCATTGCACAGAGCAGGCAAGTATAACTTGTGTTTTATTTTTTTCTATAACAAAGCTAGATATAAACCTGTATGTTTGCTCGCATATCTGTCCTATTCATACTGAGGAAGGAAGGGGCAGGGGCATTGGTTGTTGGAGTTTCCATGTTTCTGTTTGTTTGGAGCAATACAGACTCTTCAAGTAAAAGAGAAGAAAAAAAAAAATGATCATGAATCCCACAGACACAGCTAATGCCTATGTATCTGGTTCCCCATAGTTCCAGAAAGAATATCCTGAAATATACCAGAGCCGATTTCCAACCACCGAAAGTGAAGCCAAGCTGTTTGGAGACAAGCCTACCATCAAGCAACCAATGTTGGTTCTGAAAAGACCAAAGTTCCGCAATTTAAGATACTGACTAGAAGAGTCACACATATAGGACAGTCTCCAAAGCTTCATTTTACAGAAAGTCATTATAATATATATTATCCTTCAGAGAAGACACCTGAATGAAAAGAGAACCTTTCATGCTTTTATTCAGACCATTATTTGCCATTTCTCCTAATTAAGATCCTCCTACAAATGCCACTTTCCTGGTTGTCATGCTGTCCCTAGCTTTTTGTTTTGCTGTATAAAACCTTTCCATAAAAGCCATAAGCCAGTGTATTATCAGACATAAGTTTTGGTAGAGGAATACCTATTGGGAGGCAGCTGGTCTACATGAGCCAAAGCTACAGGAGACATGGAGGATCACTTAAAGCATACTTGCAGGGGAAGTGGTGCATACTTGCTGGAAGGTGGCCCCAGGTCTATAGACACCTTTTTATGTGCCAGCTTGTGTAATCTATTATTTTTTATTTTTTTTTAAATCTTTAGATTCTGGGCATGTTATTGGGCACATATCAACCATAGCTTTCCTGGTGGACCACCTCCTGCTGCCCCTCCACACCTTCCTATTAGTCAT